GTTAACATGGTTGTAGATATTAGAGTTTTATACCGCTACTAAACATAGTTATATTTGTTTTTCTTTTCTTGTTTTTCTTGTGTGTTTTTAGGGACTGGGGCCTATATCGGTGATACTTTGCCCCGTCCTATCTCTGAAACCTGAAGAGATATTAACTTGAAGTTTTGAACATCAAAGCGTTATCACAATGAATTGTCTATATCAAGTTTAAATTTGTCTTTTTGACGTCTTTTCTGTGATACGCAGGCTTCATAACCTCTGATCCCCTTTCAAAATTCCATTTTATTTAGTTCCGCCCATTGTTTTCTCGTTTAGGGCACACGCTTTTTATTACTTGGGGACCATACGCCGCTTTTCATGGAATGGCACGGAAGTGTCACATTGAAGGTTCCATGATAACCGCCGTATGAACACATCTGCGGATGTTTCTAAATTCAAAATTTTACTATTTCACGTTTAAATGTTGAATTCTGCTTAAGCCGGTGCTAGGGGGCGTGGACGGTAACTTGCACTTTCCAGTACCGTCCATGAACAGGCTCAATCAAACCGAGCCTGCAACATTTTCAATTTTGCCGTGTTGGGCTTTCTTTAGGGATTCTGTATTTATCTATTTCATAACTCTGACATAAAATGGCCCTTTTTAACTTAAAAAAATAAAATTTACCAAACTGGGTATCTTCAAATAGTTCTAAAATTGCTCTTAGAACTAAACGACTTCAGATACACCTTGGGGTTATTAAGAAATGCAGTCCTGATGTCAATTTAAAATGAACCGTTATAACTTTGTAAAGTTCATTAGTTTTTTTATTGATTAATTTACTTTTATATGTTCTTCTTCACTATTTATGCTGTTATTTAATATAAACATTTGAATATTGTTCTTTATTTCTATAGTCCATTATAAAAACATTTTTATGCTCTTCTAATTGTAATAAATGTCACAGCCTTACATGATATAAATGAGGATAAATACCATTGCAAATATGATTATTTGCTTCATGAAATATTGAATTGATGTGCCGTTGAACAAATGTTTGCAAATTTTTTTTTTTCAATGTTTTCGGTTGCACGAAATGAGCATCTTTAAACTAACTGATTAGGTAATATATAAAATTGACTCCTTATGACGTCAGAAATCTGCCAACTGAAAATCTCACAAAATAACTTACTATGTCGTTTGCGCCAAAAGTTCATATGCCAGCAAAGTAAAGTGACTTATAGTATATCCTTTGTTTTTCATTGGATGACGCCTTTTAATATTTTAACAAGTCAATAATTTCTAACCGTGATTGGTCTTACCAGTCTGTCTGGGTAACAGAAGTTCCTGTCTAACGCGTCCTTGAGCTATAAATTACAAAGTTGTTTGCCAATATCACCAGCAGTAAATCAAATATTTCATGTTTGACTTTTGATCAAGTGCTGTGTGGCAGCTGTAAAAAGTTGCCCAGTACTTCACTTCAGTGTTGTTATATTTTTCTGGTCCTTCGGGATCATTGATGCCAGAACTATTAAGTGTTGAGAATTGAGTACCGCTCAAGCCGGTGATAGGGGTCGTAAGGGATGTTGCACTGATTCATTATCCCTCATGTACAGACTCAATCAAACCGAGTCTGCAATTCTTTTGTAATTTTGTTGTAATTAATGCTTCCGAGGGATCACTTTGTTTCAAGTTTTTTATTAGGCCTCAAGAAAAATGCATGGTCAATAATTATTTTTCTTCCCGTCTATAAAATGTCCTGTTAAGCATATTACTCATTCTTAATTGCCATGCCGCTGTTTTGTTTCAATGCGTATTTAAAATTCCAATAAAAAACACATAAAAAAATATAATCTCGAACTGCTGTTAATATTGCCCTTTTAATTGCGTATTGCCCCTTTTAGTTCTTATCATTTCGCTTATTACATGTCCTTCCCTTCCTTTCGATGCCATTGTGTCCTCTCTGGTGCCCTCTTTTGTGACTGCGTTGTCCTTTGTTCTGTTTTTTAATCAGTGATTTTAATATGATGATGTTGTGCGTTTATTAGAATTCTATAAACAGTTTCTAATAACAATTTATCATTTTACACTCGAAGTCGGGCAATGGTCGGAGTTCTCATTAAGAGCACGGTAAATTAACTTGTTTTTAACTTACTATAAGATAATTTTTAATTATACTCAGATAATTTTCATCAGTTTTTAGAGTAAATGAGCTGATAAATTTTAAGTTCAGATTGGATTCTTATGATGTTGCCATGCTTTAATTAAATTTTTAATAAGATGTTTTAATCAGGTAAATTTTTCATTTATTATTTCATTTTCTGTTTCTACAATTTAGATTTTGACTCTTCTTTGTAATAAAATACAACATCGCTTAAGACATGTCTTTATGTTTTGAACAAATGATATCATAAGTTGAATACTAGGTTCTTCCCTTTTTGTAAAGACTTCCTGTTTTGCACTCATCTGTAATTTCCCTTTTTGATTTATTATTATTACTTTGCGTCATCGAAAAGTCTTACACTGATTCATGTATTAAACAAACTGATAGCAGCATGAGTGAAGTTTAAGTGTAGCCGTCTTATCAAGCAGGAGCCTGTAAATTCTTCGTTTGCTTCTGACGATATAAAATAAAATTTAACGGTTAAGTAATACTATATACCAATATTCGCCGTCATCTGATTTGTTTTCATGTGAGAAAGCTATCCAGGTAGCTAGGTCTACTCAGCAGCACACACGTGCATGTCATCTGAGCTCTTCCTCCACCATAATGCTGTGAAATCGCCATATGACTTATACTGTGTTGGTACGCCTTACTCCCCCCCCCAAAAAAAACCCAAAAAACAAACACAAAAAACAAGAAAAAAACACCAACAACAACAAAAGCAACAGGAAAACAAACTTTAACCCTTATTGTAAAGAAAGACAAAAATAGCGGCAAAATATGACTAACACGTGAGGACATTTTTGTACAGGGAAAATGTTTTGACAAAATCATGGCCAATCGTTCACTCACGTGTTGTGTCTAATTAACATATTTCACATATTGTGCATAGGGGAACAACAACAGACACTGATATAACGGTTTTTACAGTCACTGTCGATGAATTTATATAAGAAAATTATTTATTACAAATTGTTTGAGAAAATATTAAGGAACTTTTAAATGGACATATACGACAGTAAAATCCTAGCCATGTTACGTGTCAGATAAAAAAAACACTATTTTATATATCCGCTTTATATCCGCTTTGAATAAAAGAGAGTTTTTTTCCTTGCACATGCTCCAACAAATCTCAGAGTACAAATTTTCTTTATATACAGTTTATATCTTCTTAAAGGATTTTAACTTAACTTTTGTTTCCCAATATTATGTAAAACACATATGTTGCAACATCGAACATCTCTTAAATAACATAATGTTGATCAAAATAGAAATTGTTATAATTGTACGCATTTATGTTACTTAAGCGACATTTACATAATAACATGTTATTCTGACAATCTCGGTAATGACATATTTATTATGTTAATAAATTGCAGCTAATGGATATGATGATCTGAGACAAAGTTATCATGTAATTTTACAGCTTTGTTTTTATTTCTTTCTCCGAATAAATATAACTTTTACTGCCCTTGTAATCAGTTTCCACTCTATAAATCTGCCAGAGTCACGACTTAGAACACGGTTAATTTATTTTCTGGCTGTTACGTGCATTACTAGTATTTAACTAAGAAGGTCTTATTCTTTTGGGATCCATTTTAATACAAAAACCATTCAGTTCCATTTAAACCTATCTAATGATTACCCCAGGTGATGAATTTAAGCTAAATTCAGATTGTCTACTCTCAACAGTGTAACAGTTAGGGAATGTTGTTTTGATTTTTTGCTTTTCAGTAAAATTAAGTTAATTCATCTTGATGTTTAATTAGGGCAATTAAATAAAAGCCGTGAATTGATTTTCGCATGTTTTTACATAACTATTAATGTCGACATGTTAGACTATCAAATAGGAATTTTTAAGGGTAAAATCAACTAATCACAGTGTGGTATATTTCATGACCGACTTTTTATGAATAAATCACATTCTTTCTTTAAATTACTTAATTTTGATATTTATATTCACAATGGAAGATATATCATTCTGAATGTTTTAATATATGTTTCTTGCTACAATAAAGAACAAATAAATTCTCAAACTTCGAATTCTCAAACTTCCAAATATTTTTTTTCATTTGCACAAAACTACATTAAGTTTATGAATCTTAAAGAAATATTTCATAGAGTCCATTAATAAGGATATATAGGCAAATATCTTCAACATTGATGAAGAAATCCCATACATGAGATTATTTTAACTATATCAAAAAATGTAATAGTAATGATTTATTACATTTTACATTGCAGAAAAACTTTGTTGCTTGGTTGAATGTTATACAAATATGCGGGTACAGCAACTTTGTAATTTAAGTTGGTTTTATGTCAGTTTAACTGAAACAACCTATATTTAAATTGTATAAGTTTTTGTTTTGATCATTTCTCTGTTTAATGCTTTAAATGCCTAGAATCATTTCTATATTTAGTCTATTTCTCTAACTGTGTCAACAACGGTTATTTGTTAGAAAATGATGATTGAATTTTTATTATTCATTGCTGTATTTTACTTTCAAATATCAAGTTTGACGTATAACTTCGTGATATAAATACTTTCTATATATAATGTGCATCATACATTAAATTTATATAACAAAACAAATTAAAATTTATATAACAAAACAAATTATGTATAAATTATGAATGACGTCAAAACTTGAAAGCTGATAACTATATTTTCACATTTTGAACGCGTTGGACTTATGAAACATTTGTTTCGTTATTGCAATAATTAGATAAAGGTCTAGTATGAGATATCTATTAGCGTAACAATGAGACGCTATTTAACGTGTGCCTGAAAAAGATATTTGATCATAAAACATCTCATCTAATTTAAAAACAAAGCCGTTTTAGTAAGGAACATTTAAACAACACCTGTATATTACACATTAAAAATAGTAATTTTATTTAGAAGATTTGTTTGTACAAAAATATATATTTGGCAAATATAAAGCAATTTCTTTATTAGCAAAATTCGTAAAATTATTTTCTGTTGAAGTCAGAGATAATATGAAAGCAGAGTTTCAAAATTATTATTTAAGAATTTAAAAAATTAAAAGCTAGTTCCAGAAAACGAGACATTTTCATTTGTCGACGGTCTCCCTTGTGTTATTTTTTCCTTGCACCACGCCTTCATACAATCTAAAAATAGATTCTTAAACGCCCGCCTTACTTGTTTATTCACAATTCCATAAACTATCGGATTTGTGGCGTTTCCAATGAAAAACACATAACGTAAGAGTAACGAATTAGTCAATCCGAAAATATCAAACCAAAATGGTAGCCACGTAACGAAGTATATCACAGTACACAAAAACAACATTTTTGCAGTTCGCCGATGATATGAGCGCCTAGGTTTTACTTTTTCTACAACTCCGAACTCAGGTTGAAGTGTTTTCTTGTTGACAGACTCACTTCGGCAAAGCACAGGTTCATCGTCGTCTTTAATGAGATTATTACACGTTTCAATTTTCTCTAATGAGCTTTGGAATGTTACTTTGGAATCGGTCCTATGAGGCGACTTGAACTGTTCTTGACTGATAACAGGATGTTCTATTAATCCATTGGTCTCTACTTTCTTGTCTGTGTGATTATCACAATTAGTCGATGTATACTTATTGACGTCATTACATATTGTAGAATTTATTTGGCAATAAACGTCTTTCGTTTCCTTTTCTTGGCTCGTGTCATATGTTTTAATTAAAGAATCATGTTCAACAATAGGATTGACTTGTCTTTGGCCATGTGTATTGCTTTCACGGCGCCTTGTTAAAGCCTTTCTTATTTGAGTTTTCTTCCATAAAACTCCATAAATAATTGAATACAAAACAATAATTGCTATTAAAACAATAAAAAACATCGCCATCTGTAGTATTTGATATGCTTTTACTATATCATGTCCCATTATTGAGTATGTAAAATGACAAAAATACCCACTAGTATTTTCATGTGGAAATGAGCAAGGTACATCTCTCACCTCCGTATCTTTAACAACAGCAAATGTTCCAATAGATGGAGCTGCGATTAGAACTCCCATAAAGAGTATTCCATAAACACCACGATTGATGGTAGTTACATTAATTCGTTTGCTGATTTGGCATACCGCAATATATCGTTCAGTCGCAATGGCAACTAGAGTTGTATTGGAAGCTGCTATGCAAAAATGTATCAAAAATTCAAAAATCCTACAGACAATATCAGATGTCACTAAATGATACTCGTAAACAATGGTGTAAGGCATAACGAATGCACACACTAACAAATCAAGGAAAGCAAGAACTTTTATGAACGTGTTACTAGCTTTCCTATCTTTCCGACGGCAAAACACAATAAGAACTGGAATATTTCCTAATGTTCCGACAAAGGATAAGGTAGATATCATAGCGGCAAGTAAAACACTTTCAAGGTTATGACCATAGTCAAAACTACCACCATCTCTGTCTCTTAACACTTCAGACTGATTATATCTCCTGTCAAGCGTAAAATTCAACATATCAGTGGTTTTCATTCTTTAATTTTATAATACCAAAAATTTCTTTTTCACTTTATCGCGGGCATTTATTTAAAACATATCTCACCACTAAATTAACAATTTCCGTTTTTCTTTACCTATACAAACAAATGTTCACATCCCATTAATTTATATTCCATTTAAGATTCAATGCATTAAGATATAACTTTGAGCAACTTAAAACTTTTCGGCGTCCTGTGAACGTTGCCTATGCCTTGTTGATCTTTGTTCTTGTTAATTTTTGTTTCCAAAATATGATTATTAAATTTTTTTAATTTTCTTGTTTAGACACTTATTAAACAAGCTCTTTCATTGAAGATCTGAAGTAACGGGTGACTGTTGTCTCTTCCAACGGTCTTGGCAGCTATATGCGATTTAATGTATGGGCAAGAGAATAGACGCATCTGTTGAACTTTGTCTTTTCATCTCCGGTCTATGTCTTTGATCTTTTGGTCTTACGACATGATTTTAAACGCTCATATTGACTACAAAAGAAACAGAAAAAAGTGACTATTAATCTAATGAAGTAATACATACAACACTTAACAAATATCTTATCCAAAATATGAATGCCTGAACTTAATGTACAAATAATTTTCAATTTTGCATAATTATTCTGAAATACAACAAATACTCTTTGCAGTTTCTTTGGTTAACCTTAAAATTTTATTTGTTTCGATTTCTTGAACACCTTATATCTAATTCGACGTACATATGCACGTACGTGTATACGTTTTATTTTTGTATTCATTTATATATATGAGGAAAAAATCAAATTGAACCATTAGACTAAGTAAGATTTTGTCTTACGCATATTACGCATATTTATTTACGTCGAAGTAGCTATTAGTTGTTCAACACAAATTGAAACAAACAAATTTTAAGATTAACCAAGGAACCTGAAAAAAGTATTATAATTATTAAAATATAGACAAAAAATTGTCATATATGTTTCAGAATAACTTTCACATCAAATTTTAAATCATTTATAATAATAACGTTTATTTTCAAACCTTCAACAGTAATGATGTTGTCTTTAGTATGTTACATAACATCATGAATGTAACAAAGTCAAAATAATGAGAAACAAATTAACAAATCCTGGAGAAATTGGTGAAAACACACTTTAATATCCTGCTTTTGTTTAAACCTTAATATAAACATGTAATTCAAGTTATCCTCAATATTATGATGATATGACATTCATATTATAAATGTTTGCATCAATAACCATTGCTATGATAATACGTGAGCCGAAGTCCCTATTTTAAATATACACGATCCGATAATTGTGCTAATTTTAATTCACGTCACACATAGAGTCAATTAGTCAGTGTTAATATTGCATCGCTATAGGTTGAGGAACTAGGTATTTCACCTAAATTTCATCTTCCTTGTTTTACTACAGTCACGATATAATGAAGATAACATCGTTACAAATACCCGAAATTACATAAAACAATGTAAAAACATAGTTTTCTTTGTCAATCGCTTGATAAAAATCTTTTGTAATAAACTTGAAACCTTAAACCTCTTAACTTGAGATTTTAGTTTAAACTTATTCTGAAATCAACATTTGTGTATCTTTTTAAGGAAGAAAATGTTGATTTACCATTTAAACATGTACATGTTCATAAAGTTCACAAACTAATTAAATAAAGTACTTGTATGCTTTGATATAAGAAAGATAGACATTTGGTAACAAATAAAACAAAATTAAGAATAACACCCAAAATAACTCCTATGAACTATCCATGTTTAAATTAACTTGATGTTTATAAATAACCGACACTTGGAAGGTTATATGGCTTTATTTAAACGGTTGTATTTTTACATATATCAGTCGTATATAAATAGTGATATAACCTGTAAAGTTATTTTGATACTACTATCTTATGTATTTGAATAAAAAAATCAATGTATAAAATTGATGCGTATATACATGTAAAACTCAAACGTCACGATTATCAATTGATAATGACCGTGAAAACCATGCAATATTAAATAAAATATAACAACTTCAAATTACACAAGTTTTGTATTTATCTTAGATTTAAGTACTTAACCAATAATATATTTATAAACAAGTCTGTCCGCTTAACTCAATAGCGAGAGCATCGGATATGTAATCCAGGAGTCGCTGTCTTGATCCTCGGGCCGAGTAATATTTTTCGTGTTAAAAGATCTCCAAAATTGAGTCTTGTGGTCAATTATCTCTCAACACCGATTAAGAAATCATATGGAAGTAGAGGGAGAACTTGGTAGTTACTAGTTAGTTACCCAGGAAAGCCGGTAAGGTGGACTGTTTGTCAAAATCATATAGTAGTAGAAGGAAAACTTGGTAATTACTAGTTAGATATCAAGGAAAGCTGGTAAGGTGGACTGATTGTCGAGATATTGACAAAAATGAAATAGAAACGGCGTAAAAAATGATACACAATCAAACAATTTAAAACCTCCTAAACATTTATCAATTATTAAGAAACAAGACATGATATGCAATATTTATATTTGATGGTTTTTGCAAAAAGATAAATGATATGACTTTTTAACAAGCTATCACAAATACACGTAATGTTGTTGAATCATATGTATAATGGCAAATTCGCATATGGTTGTAGTGTTATCTGAAAAGTAATTAGGCAGCACAAATGAAGTTCTCATGAAATAAATTAAAAATAAATAATCATTTTGACAAGTAAAGTAAGATAATATTATGTGAGATAATATTTGAAGTAAACTGTATTTGTACATTTTTGTAGCTCGGGAATACTAAAACATGTATCACGAGGAAGATATAACACGTTAAACAAGATATTTTATAACATATTTGACTTTTGAAATGCATTTACAAATTCAAAAATATGTAAAAAGCGCAGTGCAGTAACGAGTCATTAGGAGGCACTTGCATAATAAAAACCTGGATGACTTTAGACATATTAAGATATTATTATGCATTGGATGTGAAGAGGTGTTATTACCTTTATCTTGTCTAACACAAAGCACTTGACATACTGTCTGATATATTATACTTTAATGTTTGCATATTTATAAGAATCGTGTTTATAAAATCAAGAAGCGAAATATTGCGAGTCATCGGACTGCTCGATTTTATTTTTTTTTCAAATTTAAAAGGGGAGGGAGTTTGACAATTTTACCACGCTGTATGCAACTATATTACTTACTTTTTTAATATTCATATTTCATATTCTTATGTATGCATAGTATGGTATGTATGATGATAACATGTCATAAAATATAATTTTGTACAGTATTGATGTTTCAGTATTTTCCGCGTATTCGCATTTTTCGTAAAACGATTCCTCTATGCGACTATGTTTTCGTTCTTTAACGATACTTTATTATCGTCCTATTTCAATATTGCTATTGATATGGAGGTTATTTACATGAATATAAATTTCTTAAGCACAGTAGTTTATAGCGAATAGTCCATATGCTTTGACGTTTTAGCACTTTGTTATTGATGCTTTACGATACGATTGGTTAGTTATTCATAACATGATACTTGCTATACAATATGTGTTATCATTTACAGTTCCGCTGTTTTGTTATTGAAATCATTAACAGCAGAATATTATGAATTATCCATGAAATCGGAAAGTCACATGAAGAAAATTAATAGCTTGGGTTATGATATGGACTTAAAGTACCATACCAACTTAAAAAAATATATAAAAAAATTGTTTTCCTTTCTACAGAAAATAAAATTTTTAATTGTTCTGAAAGTGACAGATAGTAAAATTTGTGACATGGAAGAACTTATGTGATCTGCATATTATGTAAAATTATGAGAATTTATATTCTTATCGCATCATTAAAAATAAATATGCAAAGCTGTTTATTCGCATGGAAATAATAAATTTATAGAATAGAAACTCAGCTGTTAATTCTGCACACAACTGACATGTAATAGAATCAGTCATGTGTAATGTAAATATTGTAATTTGAATTAAACACTAAGCCTATAAAGCAAGCATTGTAAATCCCCATTCAAGTAACCTTGTTTAAATGCTAATACCAGTATTTATTTAAAATTGATTTTATTCAAATATACAACTTAAGGCCTAGAACTTCTGTCAAAGCAAAAAAGCTGAATCATTCTCATGGATGCAGATAAAAATGATTGAAATACAAGAAATACAAAATTTCAAATTTACTTACATATAGTTATTAAGCAAAAATCTAAATTTTAAATTTATTTCCTGACATTTAAAAAAGGATAAAATAATAATGATACCTTGTATGAATCTTATAACCTAATATATATTTTTTTCTTTCACCTTCAGAAACAAATGGACATGCCACATAGACATTTTTCATGCTAAGCAACATAATTTTCTTTATGATAACATTTTTACAAGTAAAAACATTTGAATCACAATGTTTTATAAGAAATAAAAACTGTATTGATTTTGCAATTGGTATACAAGTTAACAAGACACAACCGTTTAAAATCTGTGCCCTATGGTCCTCATTTATTGAGTAGTTTAATTTAAGTGGTAATTAGTATTGATAAATTCCTCCGCAGTACACTATCATCAGATGTTGTTGATAAAATCCCCTTGATAATAAGATTTACAAGGCAAATGCGGACTCAATTAGTATTCCTATCACAGGCATTGATCAATATTTCGTTCAACCATTGTTTTATACTGTTACATGATCTCAAATGATAACATTCGTTCATGTGTACTCTCAAGTTATAGCAATCTGTAACGTTGGCAGTAAACGAAAAAAAAATGATCGAATGTTTAAAACCTTTGTTAAATACCCATAATAAACAATAATGTCAGTTTACGTAAGATAGATAAAAATGCAGAATTATTGACATGTTTAGTAACAATGTACTGATAAGCAACACGTTTTGAAAGTCTTCTAAACAGTAAATAAGTGCAATATGCTGAATAGAAAGAGTTAAACTAGTATGTATTCATATTAAAATATTATAAAATATCAAATTAACCATATAGCCTTAGAAAATTTTATGAAATGTTGAAGTCAAAGTTTGCAAAAAAAAACCCATTCATGAAAGAGCAATTATATTGTTCTGAAGTGAATAAGTTTGATGAGTTGAGAAACTTTGTTAAAGCATTTGGACTTATGTAGCTTGTATGTTAACTTTGATAAAATGTATTATCTTAAAAAATGCATTATCAAAATCTTTTTAATGCAAAACTTATTTTTTATTTCATTGTGTATTTAAATAACGTGTTTATAAAAATAGTTAATTTCTAATTACCTTATACTATTGTTGCCAGGGTATCATCGACATAAACGGTAAATAAACATAATATAATTTACCTTTCTTTTGTTTTTTAATTAATTTACATTATAAATAAAGATATAACTGTTTGCTCCTGTATGCCTTGCTGCAGTAGGAAATAGGTTTATCAGGATACAAATCAAAACTTCAACGTTAAACGATAAACACATTTAACAATATTAACTTTCAACTGGAAATGTTAAATAACCCTCCCCCAAACAAAAAAAAACAAATAAAAGAAATAAATAATGAATAAATACTAGATACATAAAAAAAAATTGAACCTTACCACAAAGCAGATGAGAAGTATAAATATATTACGTGGACAATTAATAATGTTGCTAAGAAAGAAAGCATAAATGCATAAAGATAATTATTATAGTAATGTCAGAAAACTTGATGGAATTATTTTATGAATACAGTCATATTATCGATATACATCAAACCTTTGATATTAAATATCTAGTAAAATATTGTCTTATATATGTAGACGTTACAAATGCAAAATTATATACTTTCCAAATAATGCTTTTGTAGAGATTAACTTAATTATGAACAACGTAAAAAACAAAAAACATATTTTAAAGTTGGTACATTTTCTATGTTATTAAACCTTGTACATATCTTTACATTTCTGACAAATCTAAACAATATCTCAGAATTCAACGTCATCAACAATCATTGCAAATATTGGCTGTTTTAATAATCGACCGAAACCGCCGATATCGTATACTAGAACACAAGAAATCAACAATGACATCTCACAGAGAACCCTTTAAGATTAGCATTTAAATGCAAACAGTTCAACGCAATAAAATGATTTGTTATAAATCGTTCACGGTTGTTTAGCCATTAAACTTAAAATGCCTTCATATTGGAACAAGTCATTGATAAAATATCAAATATCGAAAACAACAACAATAGAAATAACAACAACAACGAAATGATGTTATTACAATGTAATGTAAAAAATAATTCCACCAGTTTGTGACCCAAAAAGTTTGAATGCTCTTTGTGACTATAAGTAAAGACAGATATAATTGAAGTACAATAGATA